TGTATCTCACAAAATGAAGACTACAAGTTTTCATTACCATGCTCTAAAAAAACATGCATTCTGGGAACTGAATTAAGGTCTCCATGCTTACATGGCAAATAATTTTCTGACTGAGCCACCTCCCTAGGCCTCACACAAATACATTTGCTGTTTTATTCTGGCTCCAAGAGAGTACATTTTTGTTTTGATGTGTGACTTTATCCCATTGAGAAATGAGATCTTCACTTCTAGTTTTAAGAACTTGCCCAGTAGAGAAGACATGGAACTGTCATTCATAAGTCTAGGCTGTGCTGCTGCTATTGCTTTAGATCATAGGAAACTGGGTCAAATCAGGCTAAGATAGAACACATGATCTTCAGCTCTCCAGGTGTGGGCCTAGAACCAAACTTCTAGAAATTAAAGCACTTACTCACAGGCCTAGGAGAGCCATTCTGGAAGAAAGCATCTGACTAGAGACATATTGATATCCAGGGACAGACTGTGAATAAGCATTGCCCAAGGTACTTACAAGATGAAGGGTACATTTAACTCTGTGGTATCAGTCTGGGAACCTACGTTAACAGTCTATTATTGGCTCACAGTGATGGATCTTAGTATTAAGTGTTTATTCCTTTCTAGGCTAGATATTTTATTTTTCAAAAGTCATTTTATTTTTTTTAAAGTGTTTGGGTGTATGGCATGTGTGTGTGTCATGGCTCATGTATGGAGGTGAGAAAACAAGCTACAGGAATTTGTTCTCTCCTTCAGCCACATGGGACCTGAGGATCGAACTCAGGTAGTCAAGCTTGGAGGAAAGCATTTTTAGCCTCTGAGCTCTCTTGCCTTCCCAAGACTAGAGACTCTCTCCTCTGTTAAATAGAGAGAGGCTTGGGTTGGAGAGAGAGCTCAACAATTAAGAGCACTTGCCGCTCTTCAAGAGGATCTGGGTTTGGTTCCCAGGATCTATGTGGCAGATGGCAACTGTCTAACTCCTGTTCCAGGGGATCTGATACTCTCTTATGTCCTCCATGGGTATCAGGCATGCAAGTGGCTCATAGACATACAGGCAAAACATAAAACAAAACATAAAATCAAGCAGAGGCTGGAGTTGAATAAAGCCAGGTTTGCAAAATATGCAGGGGCCTCATGGGCTTCTCTCCTTCACATTAGCATGCCTATTGTTGTCCTTATTTCACTCATGTTTAGGCAGTCATGTTGGTGAGGCTTTATGGGTATAGCTTCTGACATTCCTAGGAGACACAATCTCTGAGCAAACTCCCCATTCTTTTGGCTCTTACAATCCTTCTGTCCCCTCTTCCACAATGATCCCTTTGCCTTAGGTGCAGGAATGGATTCATTCACAAAAGAGGCCATGAATTTGAAAGAGCGCAAGGAGTTCTATACAGGATGGTTTAGACAGAGAGAAGAAAAGAAGAAATTATATAATGATATTATAATCTCCAAATTAAAAAAAATAATAAAGAGAATAGAAAGCCAAAGAAAAATGCAGAGGAGGAAGTTAGGAAGTTCTGTGTATAATTTCTTTGGTAATACTTCTGTGAAGCATTAAGTAGACCAGCTGGCATATTGAAATGTAGGCTTCCTTATGCTACTTTCCTCCATTTCTGGACAGCTTGCTGTTTTGTCATTAGCAATAGGTTAATTGGTTGTAAATGTTTGCTTGACTGGGCCACGATTTAAACTTGCTTCCAGTAAAACATCTTGGTAAGGTCAGAAGCCTGCAATGGGTAGTTGGTTACAAAATAAGAATTAGATAGAAAAGGGATCCATCTCTATTAATCTCCACTTAGGCAGTGATTAGACTTGTGAAGACAGCTAAAATCTTAATTGCTCAGTGTCTTCAGGAAGTCAATTCTTTTAATCTTCTCTCAGTAGTTAGCTATTAATTAACTGGGAATAAAGAGGAGAATAATTGGATATGGATTCGCTCAGCTATCCTGTGCCTTGTGAAATCAATATTCTTGGTTATTAAGGAGTTCTTGGATGAAAGGAAGTAGGGATGAAGGGATATACTCTAAAAAGAGACTACTCACTGGGGGTAATACCTGGTTCAGAACAAGAAAATGAATAATAAGGACTTAAGGTATCTTTTTGTATCTCCCAAAATGCCCAGCCATGTTTTCCCCAGGGCTTTAGCACACATGTCTCCATGCCAAACTTACCTAGCTATGGATGGCACTCATATAATGATTGAGTGAGGGTTTGCAGTGAGATCTGCCAGACTTTGCATGATTTACTTTATATTTCAGCTTGCTCAACTGTAAGTGGCAATGCAAGCAATGATTGCTACACAGTTGTTTAGAGAAGTGTGTGAGATGAATACACAGATAGCATCCAGAGTATGCAGTCTGAAAATAAGAGGTATTCTACATTGAATACTGTTGCCTTTCATGTTGTCCCAGACCAGGAACATTCTGTGATGAGAAATCCCAACTATTCTGACTTTTGAGGCATACTTTCCCCTATAAGGTTATTACCAATGAAGTCTTGCTGAAGCCTAGAGAACTTTAATGGGGCAGACTGTTTATGGCAAGCTCACATCTACATTTCCAATATGGCTTCATGGGTTTTAAGTATGGACATACTGAGTTATGTCGATCTGGACTGGGATCTAAGCTATACTGCTTTCTGGTTTTATGTTTTTGGGAAAATTATTTAACTGTTCTATGACTTTAATTTGGCATCCATAAAATAAGGACAGTATCATATTATTATCTTGTGGGATTGTTGGGAAGATGAACTAATGCATATATAGTATTGACATTAATTGCTGACACAGGATAAATACAAAAAAGAGTAGCCATAATATTGTTAATACTATCATTCCTACCCTGGATTTCCTTCTTAGAGAGATAACAAATATCAAACATTCATGTGATAAATTACATAAGCTGAGAACAAATGGTTTAAGTGTCTTCCATATGTGACCTAGATGCACATTACCAGGGCAATTAGCTGTCACCCAGATATGATTTCTAATCTGTGCCAGTCCAAATAATAGCCCCTTCAAAAGTTTTGACATTGTTTCAACTGAAAGATTATATCTAGTTTTCTATTCTTGAATCTATGTTCTGTGAATATGCTTGACCCACACAATGTGATAGTATATGTCATTTTCTGGGCTTATGTTACTTAGGAGACCAGTGGCTTCAGCTTCCTGTCTCTGGGCATGTTGTGTTTTTAGTAAAGTCAGCCTATTGAGAGTTCTCTGTAGAAAACATCTCAGGTTCCTGATACTTCACAGCAACTTTGTAAATGAAAATATTTCATTGGGGATGGCTTACTGTTCAGAGGTTTAATCCATTATCATCATGGCAGAAAGCATGGTGGTGTGCAGGCAGACATGGTGTTGGAGAAGTAGCTGCGGGTTTTGCATTCAGATCAGCAGGCAGCAGGAAGAGAATGCCATGCTAGAAATGGCTTGAGCATCTGAAACCCCAAAGCCTGTCCCCCAGTTACACACCTCCTCCAACAATGCCAAACCTACACTTCCCAATGGTGTCACTCCCTATGAGCCTATGGGGTTAGTTTCATTCAAACTACCACAGACAATATTCCATGCACTACCAGCTATATCATGTAAATGGCTGCTGGTTTTATGAATGTGCAAGAATGAATGACCTTTGGCTGAATTAAGGAATAATCCTTGGTTATTGTGCATAATGCTTTTATTGAAAAAAAGCAAAAAAAAAAAAAAAACTCCACAAAAAGAAAACAAAAAGACCCCAAACAAGTCACCCACACAAAATAGTTTTGAGCAAACATTTGGAATGTATTAAACTAAATATTGATTCCCTTCCTGCCAAGTCCATTCTTCCCCACATCCCATAGCTCAGAAAGATCTAATGATCTGTCAAGTTACTTAGCTTACAAAAATGTGGGAGTATCCATGGATCCTCCCTTTCCCTGGCTCCTCAATCTAGTTCATGAAAACAGTTCTGTTGGCTGTCCTTTTAAAATGTCCCTTACATTGGTCTTTTCTCCATCATCACTCTTCCTATTCTAGTCCAAACTATTCTCCCACCGTGGGCACCAACTTTCTGCTTCCTTAGATTCTTTTCCAAGATGCCGTTCACTTTCCAGGTCATTCTGTTGTTGCCATCTTTTCTGAGCTCCCAGACCCTCATGGCAGCCAATGGTCCTCGTGTGCTACACATTGAGCCTCTCACTGCTAAGATCTCATTTCACTCTGCGCTTGAATGAAATGACACTCTATAGGCACGGTGTTTAGATTTATGAGAATCCGTCAAGGAAGTAAGTGATGTAACCTGGAAAGGGGTGTCAACTCCTTGAGATATAAACCTTGACTGATGGAACTCAAGAGGTGTGAGGGAGTCAGGCAGATAAAATTCTCTTACTTTTCCCCTTCACATACTAAAGTGTGTGTGTGTGTGTGTGTGTGTGTGTGTGTGTGTGTGTGTGTGTGTTTCCCCTTTAAATTGGTCTAGAAAAAAATCCATGTACATCCCTGGCTTCTGACAAGTAGTTTTGAAAAGTAATAGCCCGTGAGACCATGCACTGTCTCACTGTTTTACAGCTTTCCTTTCCCCACCAACCCTATTTCCTTTCCTTTATCATTGTCTTGGGTTTGTACACCACGATTATGAATACTTGATTATTGACTCAGGTTCTGCTTTGTAAGGGAATCTTGCTGAGACATTTGAAATTAGAATTTGTTCTTTAAAATATTATTACACACATATGCATACTTACGTGTGTATGCCATAGTGTTCGTATGGAGTGCAGAGTATAACTTTTAGAAACGGGTTCTCCCTTCCCATCGTGGGTTCCAGGCATCAAACTCAGGTCATCAGGCTTTGTGCACCAAGTGTTTTACCTGCAGAACCATCTTACCAGTCAAGAATTAGTTCTTGAATCAAATGGTCAGGATGGGGTTTTAGGTCTGTATTGTTCAGCTGTCCTAATCCCCTTCCTATGAGGAATATTACAGTTACTTGAGCTTTTACCCATGGTGTGTGCTATTTTGAAGATATGATATATAGGTGGAGCACAAGAGATGGACAAGTTATGTTGCTATCACACCTACTTGGCATACAAACAATGCTCTTCATAAGGATTTTAGAATCTAGTATTTGACTGAAGTAGAATCTCTGCTTTTATGATAATCTTAAAGGAGACCTTGACCATGAAGAACTGCAGAGCAGATTGCAGTAAAAATCAGGCTCAGGATCTGATGATAGGCGTGGTTCAGATATGAAAATGACCAAGTGCACATACTACAGTATTGCCAGGTCCACTATGTCAACATCAGAGAGGGAAATATTGGAACACAGAGATCTATGCTGTGATTTAGGAGGATGAATCAAATTCCTTAACTTTTCTTGCTGTAAGACTAGCCCTTTTCCTTTTCCAGAGAATAACTTTCTTTTTCATAAGCATTGCATAATGATTGCACTTTAAGTAAGTGCCTTCTTAGATTGCGTTTCTCAAGTTCCATCTCACTATCCTCATTGCCTTCAAGTAAATAAGAGTCAGATCTTGAAAATTATTTGGTGCTTATCAGTAGGGAGAATTGAGAACCTCTTTGCATTATTTCCACAAAAGAACTAGGCATATAAAAATGAGTGCTGTATGACTCCACTAATATGATTTCCAAGATTCAGGCAGTGCAAATCCATGTAGAGAAAAACCAGAAAGAGTTCGCCTCTGGATTAACAAGAGATTAACTGGAAGAAAACATGAATGTACTTTTGGGGGGGATGATCGAAAGTTGCAATTACTACTCTAGCATAGGTCTTGGGTTAGAGTTCCTGCACCTGCATGGTGGTTCAGAATGTCTATAATTCCAGCTCTAGGGGAATTGGCCTCTCTGGGCACCTGCATGAATGTGGTACACACATATGCAGACAAAATTAATATACAACAAATAAATAAATAAATAAATATCAAAAGACCACAAATTCTCCATATTTTGTATGCCAATTATATGTCAATAAAAAGTTAAAGGGTAGTTTATATGAGGAGGGCATGCTTACCACCTATTTCAGCATTATTTTAACTCTACACAAAATATCATATTAACTCATTATATTGATGAATATATCCGCTTTGAGAATTTTTATAGTTTCAGAAGCCTGGGGTAGAACATTTACTCCAAGTCTATAATACTATACTTTGCACCCCTGACCACTGAAAAAGTACTGTTTTGTTATTTGCAAGTTTGTATAGAATACAAACTCTAATGAGAATATTGATTCATTTTGATCTTCTTTTGGTAACTAGATGGATGCTAGTTTCAGTGGAGGCCAGGGGCATGGGGATTTCTGCAGCCAGTCTCTAGACCATCTTACAATGAGATTTTTGTACATTTATTTTCAGGCAACCCCTTAGGCAAATCACAGTGTAGATCTCTTAGGCTCTGGAACAGGGCTGGACAAGCGTTGTTGGCAGAAAACCATTCTCTTTAGAATACCATGTGATGTGCTAATAGAGACTGAGTGCCAGGTTACTCCTCAGTGTATTGGCTAACTATTGCTGAGTTACAATGTTGCCATAAACATACCTATTTAAATCAACAAATAGTGCTTCTCTATGTTTCAGGAATCTGATCTTGGCTCAGGAAGGTCCTCTGCACAGGGTCTTGCAAGGATGCAGTCAAGGCTTTGGCCAGGGTGCATTCCTTTACGGAGCTTGGGCTCCTCTTCAAAACTCACATGCTTGTTGACAGAATTCAGTGTTACACAGCTTTAGGGCTTGTTGATCATGGGCCTGGCTTGGCCTAAGATTGCTCACAGTTCCTTGCCAAGTGACCTTCTCACAGGCATACATCATCAAGAGCCAGCTAGAGAGGCTCTTATTCCAGTATGCTAGGGCGGAATCTCTTCATTAAACTTTATTAGTATACTTATTAGGGCATATTATTGGTTCTCTATCTTTCCATGTGATCCTATGCAGCTTCCCATATGACAATCGTGACAATGTGACAATGATTTCATCTCCTTGGCTGTCATCTCTTGTCTGGTAGTTTCAGACCCCACTTATACTTCAGAGGAGGGAATTATATAAGGGTGGGCCTCATTAGGGTTTGCTTTAGGATGTGGCCGTCAGAGGTACCATGGAACTAAGCATAACGAACTGCTTACAACAAACTGGGTAGTACATATCCCACCTAGTTGTGATACTGGGGACGAACAATAGTATCCTTTCATGGTACTCAGAGGACTGGGCTTAGGCGGGTCCAGCAGACAAGACTAAAATGTAGGAGCAGGTGGCCTAGACATACACTGTTTGTTTTTATTAATTACTGTCTCCTTCCTTTCAATTCATTCCTATTTTGCATCATACTGGAAGTCTAGTACTGTCAAATGCCAGTGAAAGGAGGAACTCAAGACTAATTTACAGATGGATCAGCAGAAAGATTGGCACCATGGATTGGCACAATGGATTGCTGCCCCAGTGGGTGGGTTTCCCTTCACTGATGCTCATCTATTATATGCTACCAACCTGCCAGTGGCCCTTGATATCCCATCATATCTTGAGTGGAGCAGAAAGCTATGTTGTGCCAATTCAATTACTTGGGTCTTTTATATCATCAAGAGAGCATTAATTGTTCAGAATTGGTTATATATTCTGTGAAAGGATTTACCTTCTCTGCCAGGATCTGCCATCTTCGTGCCAGCTATCATAGCTTTACAGAGTGCTTAATAGCATAGAACAGGCTGTTGAAAGCTCAGCTATGGTGCCAGAAGGGCATACAACCCTGTAGGGTTGAGTCCTACATACTAAATGCCAGGGTATGGTGTATAATTAATTATCCTATGATGAAAATATGGTGTTTCATGTCTAATAAAGTCTCGTGCCCTATGACGTTTATAGTCATTGATGGCTTCTATACAGCAGTGCTCCCATAAAATTGTAATGGAGTTGAAAATGTCCTGTTACCTAGTGGTGCTGTAGTCATCGTAATATTGTTACTCACCACGTTGCATGTTTGTTGTACTCTCATGTGACTGACTGCTGTGCCAGTCAGATAAAAGTATACTATATAAATTATAGATAGCACATAATACTTGATAGTGAAAAGACTTTCTGGTTTATGTATTTACTTCAAATCATTTTAGAGTTCACACACAATTATAATCAAATAAGCTATTAAATAGTGTGCTGGGTGAGTCCAGAAGCAGCTTTGTTTGAATTAGGGTTTCTATTGTTGTCATGAAACATCGTGACCAACAGCAACTTGGGGAGGAACGGGTTTATTTCAGCTTATACTTCCAGGTAAACAGCCCATCACTGAGGGAAGTCAGGGTAGGCACTCAAACAGTGCAGGAACCTGGAGGCAGGAGCTGATTCAGAAGCCATGGAGAGAATAGTGTACCTAAGAAATAGCAGTGGCTATCCCAAAGAATACAATAGACTCTGATGACACCCTATGGAAGGCCTCTCCCTCGAGGCATAGCAGAAAGGATATGTGATAGGTAGAGTTTTAATTGGGGGGGGGGTAGGGGAGGAGGGGAGGGAGAGGGATCTGGGATTGTCATGTGAAGAATTCTTGTTTCTAATTTAAATTAAAAAATAGAAAAAAAGAAGCCACGGAGGAGTGCTGCTTATTGGATTGCTCCCCGTGGCTTGCTTAGACTGCTTTATTCAGAGCCCAGGTTCATCAGCCCAGGGATGCCACCACCCACAGTGAGCTGGGCCCTCCCACATCAATTATCAATCAAGAAAATGCACTACACACTTGCCCACAGGCCAATGTGGAGGGGATATTTTCTTTCTTTGTTTCTTTTTTTTTCGAGACAGGGTTTTTCTGTGACTTTGGAGGCTGTCCTGGAACTAGCTCTTGTAGACCAGGCTGGTCTTGAATTCACAGAGATCTGCCTGCCTCTGCCTCCGGAGTGCTGGGACTAAAGGCATGTGCCACCACCACCCTGCTGATATTTTCTTAATTGATGCTACATTGTTACTTTAACTTGTGTTAAGTTGATGTAAAATTAGCCAGCACAAGCTTCATGTACCTCCTGTTTCCCATCTTTGATAGTCATCATTTTCAATTTTGTGTTGTTTTGCTCATCATGGCTTTGGAAGGAATAGGCTATTATATACATCTTGGCCTATATGGATATTCAGATTCACATAGTATACCTGCAAGTATAATGTATCCTGAGGGTGTTGGAGGCTTCTGGCGTCACATACTAAACACCATTCTCTGACACTTTCACAGTGATGAAATCCTTTGATGGCCTATTCTCAAAACATCTCCCTCTGTTAAGTATCTAGAGATCTGAAAGAGTCAGGACATTTGAAAATTCTCTTGCAAGTAATGCAGAAAGTGGGAGTCTTTTTCCTATCTTGCTGGGATAACAGCTGTGAGAGCAGTGAAGCCATTGGTTGTGTTAATGGTAGCCATAGACGCACCCAGAGAAGATCAAAGCTTCAAAGAATTCCAAGAATATTATTGTCAGAAACACCACAGTAAAACCTGAGAATGAATGAAGAGCATGCAGGAATCAGGTAAGTGGAAAACACTATAGCTTTTGGGCACAGTGGCTAGAACTCTGGAGTCATAGATACAGTCTGGCTCTACAAGCTACTTGCACAACTTTGGGAAAACAGCTTTGCTTCTTGATCCTCACTTTCTATATCTATAAATAGAGATAATTATTGTATGGATATACAAGGTAATTATAAGAATTCAATGTTTGTGGTAATGCTTATAAAATGTCTAGAACAGTGCATGGAAAATAACAATTTCAATATAATTACATGTACAAATTAACAGGTGACCATCTTTGGGAGTGATCTGATCCTAGTATGTAATCATGTTTTCCTATTTATATTATAGTTTATTTTTAATACAGATTACTTAAGTCTTTTCGAATAGCATTTTCTTTTTAATTTTTATATTTTTATATTTTTGTATTTTTAAATTTTTAAGCATTTCTGTATCTTACTTCTGTTGTTCACTAAGAAAAGGTCATACAGTCTATTTGTGATACTTTTCTGAAATGACAAATTACTTTTATTTCCACCCTTTGAGTAGAACTGCTATAGGCCCCATGCACAATTACCATCCTGAATCCCTTCTACTCATCTGTTTCCTGTAGCTCATGGTTTCCTCTCAAGAAGTTTCCTAAGAAAAGATGTGCAGGAAACTGAGAATTTCTGTATTTGAAATGCCTGTATCTTCATGTTCTTCACGATCAGCTGTGCATTTCTAGGCCAAGAAAAAGTCCAGTGTTTAGTACTATTGAAACATCAAGTGTCATTCTGATTTCTGTGTTGCATTTTAAGCTGGGTAAAAGCCTTGTGTTTGCTTCCATCTGAAGGCTTATAATAATGCATATGTGGTCTATGTTTTATTATACAAAATGTGGTGATGATAAGCCTTCTCTGGATATTTTCTCATTTGCTCTGTCAGGTACATAGTAGTGTCTTCCATCTGGAGGTTCACATTATGTAATTATGGGGAATAGTCTCATGCCATTAATACTTTCTTTTTTCCGTTAACCTCCATCTAGTACAAATACAAAGTGGGTATTTGGGCATTATCAACTGGCACAATATTTTTTGTCTCTTTTTCTCCACATTGAATTAAATTAGGCCACACCAGTAACTCAGAACCACAATATATGGGGGAAGAAAAGCAGAACGTGGTCGGGGGTGTAGTCTACATGCTTACAAAAGGAGGACAACAAAAGGCAAATTGAGTTTTCTGCTAAAATCCCAGGAAGTTTTAGGAATTGGAGAAGCCATGCAACTTTCATCAAAGGCACAGAGTTGATCTTTTTAAAAGATCACTGACACATGAAACTAAATTCCGACAAAATAAGTGAATACCTGCTTTTGGACTGAGGTACTTACTATAAACCTGCTCCTCTCATCTATCAGTAGGCAACGAATCGGGTGGCCTACTCCCTCCACAAGCACTTACTTTAAGAAACTTTCTCTGGAGAAATAACTGAATATACAAGGAGTGTTGACAGGGAGCACAAAAAGCCAGGAGACCACATTTTTGCTCTAACATGAAGAAGCCCTGCCTTTACATTGTGATTCTGTTCAATATTTAAAAGGAGAATTTAAAAGCAAATAAACACCCAATAATTATCAGTCACTGGAAAAAGGTATCCAAAATGGAAGAAAAAGACAAAATAAACAGAAGAGAAGCAAGTGAAAGGCATAAGACAATTCAAAACTTGAGAAGGCTCCCAAGAAAATGCAATATTCTTAGGGTGGTAAGACATTGTATTTACTAAGCTAGAATATGATGCTATATGAAAAAGAGCCGAGAACACAGACATCCAGTACTCATTCTTTTTTTGTCTTCTATTGACACATCATGACAGAAGGTTAGGGTGCATAATTGTAGGCTACATACTATACTGAAAAAAAGGACATACAGAAAAATAATAATAAGTTAAAAAGCTACTCCCAAAGGTATACTGAATTTTGTAAAAAAAAAAATCTAGGTTTTTCTCAGATCACAAATAATCTATGTTTAAGTTTTCATTGTAAGCCAGAAAAAGAGGTTCAATCAATGGACATTATTGGGATGAGAAACCAGTAAAGCAGTATAGAGACCCCAAATTCATCTTCATAGGATTTTGGTTTAAATAGAGGAAGATTTAGAGTAGAGGCGAGTTGAATGTACATTTAAACCATCCTGGTCAAGATGTGATCTTGCTCATAATTGCTGTTAGCTCCATTCCGGTCAGCTAGTCAAAAAGCATTGCTTAATCTGTTAATCATTGTTGTCTACTGAGGGAACTTACTTGGTTTTTACAATATGATCTGTTCCAGGGTGTAGCATTTTCATCACTGATAATTATTCTCATCGTAGGGATGGTTCGTCCTGCCTGCAGGCCTTGCTGTTCTTGAATTCAAGGGAACTTGAAGGTATAGGACAACAATTTATCTTCTGGCCTTCAACAGCAAAAGGTGCTGGTGGCACACGCCTCTAATCCCAGTACTCTGGAGGCAGAAGCAGGTGGTCTACGGAGTGAGTTTCAGGACAGTCAAGGCTACACAGAGAATCCCTGTCTCAAAAAACCAAAAAGAAAAAAAAAAGAAAAAGAAAAGAAAAGTCAATGGAGTTAGGCAGGACTAGGAGTCAAAGAGGATTCTGGGAAATGTAGTAGAGAAGTGGTGTTCCAGGAAGGAAGTGACATAGCAAGGAGACTCATATTTAAGAAAGGAGAAACAGGAAGTGTCCCTTTTCCCCCTCCGCTCTTCCTCCAGAGGCGCAATGTGATCCACTGGCAAGGAGGGACACCAATAAGGTATCCGATAAGGTAAGTCTTATAAAATATATAGATTTATGATAATTGAGACTGAGCTAACAGATGAGAATCCTAGTCATTAGCCAAGCAGCATTGTACCTAATACAAGTCTCTCTGTGCATTAATTGGGGCCCTAACTCAGGCGGGCGGCTGGCATAGAGTGCACACGTGGCGGTGGGGCTCAGTGGCTTATGGCGGAAAGATTAATCATAACACTCAGGCCTTTGATCCCAGCACTAGAGAGAACATAAAGAGCTCAGTGCAGTCTCAGGAGCAGTCTGAGATTTGGTGAGGAGCAGAGCAGTCTGGAGGTGCAGTCTGAGGTTTGTGGATTACCCCTTCAGTCTGAGCATTGGTAGAGGTGAGAGCTCTCAATTGGTTGGCCATTTTGCTTCTCTGATCTTCAGCTTTAATCCTAACATCTGCCTCTGGGTTTTTATTTATTTGTGCTACAAGGTTATAATTGTTAACAGATCATACCCCTAGGTGACCAATGTCTAATACTGTTTAATGGTCAGAATAGCATTTCTTGGAGTATATAATGTCTGGGCATGTCTATTTATCTTTGCTTAAAGATAAGTCACAATACACACAGGAACTCATCAATACAAGTCCTTGAAAAGGTCAACATGATTAGCAGTTTTACATTGGAGAGCAGTGTCTTGGTAAAGTGTTGTCTCAAGCTTTGAATTTTATATACCCAATGAACATAAACACATTTAACATTTACAATTAGCATCCCAGTTACACATACTAATTCAGCTTCTACACTCGAAAGAAAATTTTGTTCTCTCGCTGCACCATGTGTGTCCCTGGGATTGAACTCAGGTCATCAGATTTGACAGCAAGCATCTTCACCCACTGAGCTAGGTCTTAAATCGAAAGACTTTCAAAATTGCATTTCTTCATCTGAATAGTTCTGCTTATAAGTATCGGAAATATTCAAACCATTTTGTTGCTCCTTTTTGAGTTTAAAGTCCAGATGCAAGGCATATTGAACAAAACAGAGCACTTGTATATATTA